TTTAAAATTCAAAGTCGATATTTTAATATCAATTATATACATATCTTAGTATATTAGTCTTAAGATTTAAATATATTCAACATTTTAATTTTAATAAAAATTTTGTATGTGTATAATAAGAAAAATCTTTTCTTAGATTATACGAATTTATTGTACCCGCTAGTTGAATGGAGTTCCAAGATCTTGACACATTTTCGAAACCGAAAAAACGGTACTTATATTATTACTCTTCAACAAAAGAGAGTGCTTACAACCGTTTGAAGTACATCGCGAATAATATTCATAAAAGATATCATCAAAAACAATTTGTTCAAAAATTTAAGGCATTCATCAAAATACACGGCTTCACCCGGAGATAGAGTAGTTCCCATTTTAGCACAGACATCTGCAAGATTATTGACTTCCCGATTTTAAAAGTTGATACTAATTTTTGTGAATCTAGATACCATTTCCTTCAGATCCAGGGGGAGTGTTTGGAGGCTGTTGTGCACAGCTGCTTTTCTGTTTAAGCAGGTGATAAACAGCGCTAAAACCCCCCGTGTTATGACAAATCTGCACAAAATCCCCTTGTGTTCTTTTTATTGCGTAAAACCCCCTGTGTTTCATTTTTTCATACATGAAATCCCCATTTCCATTAATAGTTAATACCGGTAACTATAAAGGGGATTTTATGCAAGCTTTTTGTAACATAGGGAGGTTTGGTTCACGGGTTTGCAACACAAGGGGGGTCTATGCAAAATTAATTTATTCATTTAAAGTTAAATTGTTTTCTTAAATTAAGTCGAATACATCTATTAATTTAAAATACGAAAACTAAAAAAATAATATTCTAGATGAAAGTTGGAACAAATTCTCAAATTATTTACGTTATTTTTCACATATAATTAATCTAGAATAAATTACAAAAATATATATTAATTCTAATAAAATAATTATGTATTTTGAAAATCAAAAATTTTAAATACATACATTAATAAATTATATCATATAAAAATTGATTTAAAAAAAAAAATTCACCACGCTTATTACATTTCTATTTTTTCATATTGTAAATGAATAAATGTGTTCGAATTATCTTCCCTTCTTTCAGTTTTCTTAAGAAACAAGTACGCTAGAAAGAAACTTTCCATTTTGGGCCAAGCAATTATAAGGATAAAAGCTTTTATTGAGGAAATGTAGGATTTTTTATGCCTAAACCACCTTTTTCTTTGCATAAACATACCGTTTCTCATTTAATGCGGCCTTTCTTATTATGTGGAGTAGCGTTCTGGAGTTTTTTTTTGCAAAGACAATAATCAACTTTATTTAGGGTTAAAGTCTGGATTTTATAACAACTGATGGAATAATTTGGGGGTGTATTGATAACGTGGTTAATAAGGGCGATTTCCCAAGTATGGCTGGAAAAAAAACTACCGAATACCGATTAACACGGTATACCTATAAAAAATTACCGAATAAATACCGAAATATCGATTGCTATTACATTTGGTACGGCATTGGTACCGTACCATTAGTTTACGGTACGGTAGCGGTATTGTATCTTCAATACCATGGTAATACCGTACCGTACCGCAACTTTGTATTTTAAAAATTAGTTCATATAGATTTCCTTTTACATTGTTAAATAAAAAAAATATAGTCAACAAATAATTAAAAAAAAAAAAACAACAACAATAAAGATATGATACATCCTATATATATACATAATTATGATTTGGTGTCCCTCATGGGATGGCCTAGCGGTTGGAGCAAGAGAGTTTGTGTCAATTGACCCAAGTTCGAATCCCCTTGCCAACGGTCGCTAGGTCGAGCTTGTCACACATGGTTAGCCTAGTGTGGTTTACATCTCTCGTGTGGTTTGCAAGCTATTATACGAGAGTGTAGGTTTACCCAGTGCACCTATATGGTTGGCTGCGGGTTCCTTCATTACCAAAAAAAAAAAAAAAAAAAAATAATTATGATTTGGTTTATTCTCTTCATATATTTAGCAAACTCACTATTTGCCTCTCGGTAAGTTGTTTATGTCCGCGCACACTTCTTTAGTTCTAAAGTCCAACTAATGTCTTATTAGTGGAATTCTTTTTGCAAAATTTTCTTCTCCCTTTCTTTCTCCCTAAGGTCCCAGCCTTTTATTTCATTTGCATTATTGCAACATAATTATTTTTTTTATTTCTTTTACTTAAACCATGAAATTTTCTTACTCGCTAGTTTTTACAAATTTTCTATTGATATATTAGTAAGCATTAGTTAACTAAAGCAAATTTTTCTACTACAGTTGTATAATGTATATTCATGTAGATTGCTTAATTGCCATATTCATTTGCTTAATTTGTTGTATTTATACATATATTCAGTATTCATCTTAATTATGGTATTATCCGAATTCATCAACAAAATTATGCACGGTAGATTACCACATACCAATCATACCGTACCGAAACTAACGGTATGCCGAATAACGGTATACCGCAATTGTTGGTACGGTAACGGTATAAATTTTTTCAATACCGCAAGATACAGTAGGTACACGGTATTGAACAAAATATTCGGCAACCGTACCGAAACCTCCCCTTCTCCCAAGCATATGACGGAAATCTATTATACCAAGCAATAATTTTTTATTATGTTTTTTAGATAATGTTATTTTTAGAAATATCGAGTGTTAGACTCAATTTTGATTGATTATTTAAGCGAATTTAATTTAGTTTCTCAAAATTAATTTTAATGAACGAGAAATTAATAAAATCACTTCATATAATATATAGAAAATGAAGAAGTGAAATGTCATCATTGAAAAAGATGGAGGTGTTTAAACACCTATTAAATAGAATAGGTGTTTAATTAAGGAAAATTTAGCAAGAACCCGCCCCCTCCCCATTAGAAAAACAAATGTAAGAAAACCTCATCTTACAAAAATAACTAGAGAAAACCCCTTTACTTAATAGTTTCATATCTTAATAGCAGCATAATACCAATATTAACCTTATTTACAACTTTATCCACCCTAATTATTTCCCAGTTTATCTATCGTCTTTTTTTCTTCCGCTGTTCCCTCTTCTTCACTCTTCAATTAAATCCCACCGCACATAACCAGCCAAATTAATTTCTAGTTCTACAAAGTGGGTCGTCTTCTTCACCACTTTGATTTAAGCTCTGAATATAGCAGCAGTTAATTCTATGGAGTGAAATAAAATTGGGCCCACACCAATTTTCAGTAGCAGCGCCTTTTTTCTCTCGATCTATTTCTTCTTTTCCCACTGCCTTCTCTTTCCCTCTTACAAGATCAGATCGAGTGCTTGGCAGTGATCCGGCGATGGGGTGGTCGAAGAAGGCGGCGCGGACGGAGGTTGATGGTGTGGGGATGATGATGGTGTGGTGTGGTGACTGTGGGATCACAATGGTGAGCATATCTACTGTTTTTTGGGTCGACTATGTGTTTTTCTAGTCGATTAAATTAATCGAATATGCTCTGGTAGTTAATTAAAGTGTTGATGACTGTTTTGGTTGTTTTGGTAGTCGATAGGTTGCTTGATTTCATTTTTTAATTCATTTTTTGATTTTTGTGTATTGATTTCGATTTGTATAAATCAAACAATTTATGTATATTATTTGTTTTGTAAAAATACTGTCGATTTTCGCTTTTACATAGTTGTGTTTTTTTTAGTAGTCAGTTTCTTAATCGACTATTTTTATATCTCATAGTCGATTAGTATACCTGAAAGAGAAAAAAAAAATTCAAATCCAAAAAAAATATGTTATAAAAATATCAAAAAAAAATAAAAAAGTTAAAAATCTAAAATAAAAAATATGCTGATGAGGTGGCAGGGACATAATCGGTGATAGTGTTGATGAGGTGACAGGGGCATAATTGAAAAAATGGGTGACTGAATTAGAGAGGGGTTTTTCTTAAATGATGAAAAATAGTTAAGGCCTCTCCCTATTAAAAGAAGTATTGATGAGGTTATATCAAAGAGCCCATTTAATTAATGAGCAAAAGGTGTGATACATTTTCATGAAATTATTTTCCTAAGAGTTGTGATTTGTGGTCATAACCTTTGAAAATTTATAAATAGAATCTCAAATTCACTATTTGAATCATTCATTTTCACATGGAATTCAATACATTAATTGAATTCACTTCTCATCACAATATTTCATTGCATATTATTGCAATTATTAAGTCCATTTATTCGTGTCTTATGAAGTCCTAAACGTCGTTTTGTTCGTCGTGTTACGATAATTGTTGTTCTAGTTTGTTGGAACTGAAATAGTCGTTGTATCTTGGAGACAATTGCAGTAAACCGAAAGCACTGCACCGGACAAATTTGTCTTAAGAAGAAAGAACCGAGTTCTTGCCTCGACTACATTTTTCTTGTCAAACTTCTGTCCAAAATTTTGTTCGTTCTCATTTCAAAATACACACACCCAAATAACAGTTATAGAAAGAATGTTTTGTGATTCGATCAACAATTAATGGAAGGCCAAGTTATTTTTCTACTTCTTTACCAATCTTAATGGTAAGTGGTTTTGGCAAATTTTCCTCTTTCTCTTAATAGTACTCCCTCTGTCCCATATTATATCTCTTTTTAAAGAGTTTTTTTTGTCCCAAATTATTTGTCATTTTATATTTTCAATGAAGCATTAATTGCATTATTTTCAATTTTACCCTTAATCACTCCTAATTAATTAGTTGAGAATCTATAAATGTCAAGGATATTTTAGTAATTTTATATGTTCTTTTTACTATAATCTATGCACATTTATTGAGTTTCTTAATATGTGCAAAACAACCCAAAACGACATTTAAATTGGGACGGAGTAATATTTTTTGAAAATAATTTTTTTTTTGATTTGGTCCAGCAATTACACCTTTGAAATATTATTAATTGGAAATAAGTATATCATTCAACATCGGTTATGAATACATATTTTCCGTGCATCGCACGTGTGAAATTTCTAATTGTTTAAATATTGAAAGTTTCCGAATCAAATCCCCTGAATTCGAAAAATCCGTCCACTTTCCATTCCTAGACTAGATGAAAAACATTTGCGGCATGCAATGATTACAAAATTTATTCTTTAAAATACTTTTCTATTTCAGAATTTTAATTTGAAAAATGAAAGAAACTCTAGAAGTGGAGCTTCGCTATTTTCATGGACGAATTGGGATCGGCGGTCGAGGCGGCGGTGGCGGAGGACTTGGCGGCTTTAGTTTGAGAATTGTAGCCAGTAGTTCATTTGACCTAGAATCTAATAGTTGCAATATATATGAAAAAATATTAGAAAACAATGACATTATTTTTTTATTCTTATATAATTAAGAACCAACAATAAGCTATACAATTAGTATATTACGTAACTTTTACCTTCGTGTAATAATTTGCAAACCACATAAAAGATATAAATAACACCAAACATAATTATAGTCTACGCGATAAACTCAATCTAAATACGGCGGCAAAATAATTCATACTCAAAAAATAACTTAACTTATTACGTACTCTCTTGCCACTAACACTGATATACCAAGAAACTATTACCTAATTTTCTCTTTATTTTTTGCCGAGATCTAAGCTAAGTTAGGGTAGAGTGGGGGTGGGGGCTATCACCCCCAATATTTTTTTTCTTAGTTTAGTTAATCACCTAACACTCAGACTTTGTTTAATGAAATAAAACGATAGGTTCTATTGTTCTAGCTAGTATCCATGCCTATTGCCAAGTCATTGACATTTTTATTTGTAATTAAATTTGTAAATATTTACTTAGTTTGACAATTTTATATGTATACATTTTCGAAAATCACAACGAGGAAAATAACGAAATCATAAATTGAAACTTCGTCAAAACGAACGACCATGTTCTGTATTTTATTTAAAATATATATATATAAAAAATTAAAAAAAAAAAAAAAAAAAAAAAAGGTAAAGCCGCGTAGATACCTGGAAATATTGTTCTTCCTTCAATTAGGGTAAAACCAAGCAATATGAGTATGACAATAATGACCTCGCTGAACCGTTTCATCTTCCCTAATTGGATCAATATTAAAGGGATTAGACGGACTTTGCGTTTTTGCAGATATTTATAGAATAAGGTAAAATATCTCAAAGGACTTATATAGATATTTTTTGATGGATATTTGTGCTCGGAATTCAATAGTTATAATTTTCAAAAGAAAGAAAACTTCAATTTCGCGTGAAAGAAAAATTCTTAGCTTAGAACTTTCCTGCCTTTATATTTAAGTTGTTCACAATGTTTTTTTTTTTCTTTCTTTGATCATATTTTTGGTCTAAAGTTATAAATGGTCATTTATTTCACCTTGACTGTAGTACTTGCATGTTAGTCAATGCATGGATCAGTAGGTTATACACCCTCTATTTTATATTGACTGCTTCAACTGAAATAATATTTACAAAGTGAAATTTCATATATCACATAGAAATTTCAATATTTATTAACTTTTGATATTTAAAAACTTTACTTTCTCTCGAACTCCCTCAACCCAAAAATTCTCTCAGACATTTATTTTCGTTTTTTTTTTCTTTCAATTCTATGTTGTGCAACACGGACTCCGAAATATGGGTTCCGAATTGGGTCAACATGGGGTAACCAAAATTTGTTTTTCGAAATAAATAAAAAAATGGGTAATATGCTAGAGGTCCCTAGTTGGAAATATAATTAGATGTTGAATACAACCTTAATATTTTTCTATGAATTAAATCATTTTTAGAAAAATAAATATGAGTCACATCCTCAATTTTTCTTTTATCCCTAATTTACCATTAACTTAAATTCATAAATTCTAAAGTCACGTTTCTCTCAGATTTATTTTTTCTTTTTTCTTCTCTTGATAAAATTCTCGAGAAAAGCTTATGTATTTCTCTGTATCTGTGTGTCGTTATATAACTTCACGTTACATCATATATTTATATGCGGCTGAGAGAAATCAACCCTAGTTATACAGCTTTTCCGTAAGAAAGGAAATAACCAAAGATAAGCTAAAGAAAATATATATCGTGATTTGGGTAAATCTAACCAAATCTGCCAATACTCCCCCTCAAGTGGGTGCATGAGGATTACGAGTGCCCAACTTGCAAAGAAAGTAGTCGAACTGTGGCTTTCCAACAGCCTTGGTGAAAATATCGACCAATTGTGCATCTGTACGTACGTAGTGTGTCGAGATAAGGCCATCTTGTAGAGCATTTCGAACCGAATGACAATCAATCTCTATATGTTTTGTTCGTTCTTGAAACACCGGATTAGATGCGATGTGCATCGCCGCCTGGCTATCACAATGAAGCTGTATGGGTAATGTATGTGAAACACCAAACGAGTTTAGCAACCCCTTTAACCACTTCAACTCACAAGTTGTCGTTGCCATGGACCGATACTCGGCTTCTGTAGATGACCTCGATACAGTATGTTGTTTCTTGGTCTTCCAAGATACCGGAGATGAACCAAGGAGTACAAGATACCCCGTTAATGAACGACGAGTAATGGGACAACTCGCCTAGGGGTGGTAAACGAGCCGAGCCGGCTCAAAAAAAGCTCGAACTCGAGCCCAAAATTAGTTGTTCGGCAGCTCGCGAGCCGGCTCGCGAGCTGCCTTCTTAATTTCTTTTTTTTTTTTTTTTCTTTTTCTTTTTTTCTTTATATATATATATATATATATATATATATATATATATATATATATATATATATATATATATATATATATTATTCTTATTCTTATTATTATTATTATTATTATTATTAACTAAATAGTAAATAGTCTATAATAATAAATATATCTAGTATTTAAATAGAAACAAATCTATATTACTTAAATAATTCATAATAATATAAAATATTATAATAATAATAATAATAGAAAAAATAAAAAATATATATAACTAGAGTTTATTATTTATTTTATAATTTTTTTTTTATTTTCCTATGAATAATTTTTAATAAAAAATAAAATGATTTTAATAAAAAATTAAATAATAATAATAAAAAAAAAATTAAATAAATAAGCTCGAGCTCGAGCTCGAGCTCGAGCCAAAAATAATTGGCTCGATGAGCTCGAGCTCGAGCTCGAGCTCGAGCTGGCCAAAAGAGCCGAGCTCGGCTCGTTCCCACCCCTAAACTCGCCCAGTCGGAATCGCAATAGGCAAACAACTGAAGATTACTATCCGCGCGGAGCATGATGCCTAGACCAGGCCGACCTTTCAAATATCGAACAACACGAAGCGCAGCCTCCCAGTGACGAGTTCGGGGAGCTTGCATGAATTGAGCCAAACTATGTACCGAATAACACAACTCCGGTCGAGTAATAGTTAAGTAAATCAATCGACCAACCAGTCGCCGATACGCCTCGGGGTCATGCACAAATTCACTATTATCGAGAGCAAGACCATGGTTTTGCTCTAACGGAATATTGGCAGGCTTTGCAACGAGCAACCCGGCCTCGGAAATAATATCCAATGCATACTTGCGTTGAGACAAAAAAATACCCTCTTTGCCGCGAGCCACTTCGAGACCTAAAAAATATTTTAGTCGCCCAAGATCCTTCATATGGAAACACCGATTGAGATAACTCTTGAAACGATCTATAGACCCCCGATTATCCCCTGCTATAATTAAATCATCCACATATACAAGTATGACCAAGAATAGCCCATCACGTCGCATTGTGAATAAAGAATAATCCGAATAAGATTGGGAAAATTCATAAGACAACAATGCGCTAGATAATTTTGCAAACCAATTTCTTGGTGTCTGACGTAAACCATATAACGACTTGCGCAAACGACATACCTTATGAGGAGAAGAACTGAGAAAGCCAGGTGGCGGTCGCATGTATACTTCTTAGCCAAGTCACCATGGAGAAAAGCATTTCGGACGTCCATTTGATGGAGTTCCCAGTCATGTATAGCTGCCAAAGCTAATAATACCCAAACGGTTCCCATCTTGGCTACCGGTGCAAAGGTTTCATGATAATCAATCCCTTCCTTCTGTCTGTTCCCTAAAATCACCAAGCGAGCTTTGTAGCGTTCAACCGTGCCATCGGAATTATATTTTATCTTATACACCCATTTGCAACCAATGGGTTTCTTACCTTGTGGCAAAGTCACAACAGACCCAGTTCCATTGTCTTCAAGAGCTTGAATCTCTTCTTTCATAGCCTGACGCCATTTTTCATCTTTCACTGCCTCGGAAAAACGTGTTGGCTCGAAACCTGCACTCACGGCTGCAAGAATTTTTCTGTGTTGCACAGTGAACTTATCAGAACAAGCATAATTAGCTATGGGATACGGAGTACCTGAGGAACTGTGAGTAAGCGGTGGCACCGAGACGGGATCAAAAAGACGTGTGGTGTGACAAATGTAATCTGTTAAGTGACTGGGTGCTTTGCGAGTACGAGTAGGACGTGTTTCCTGGGTTGTTGGTGCTGCATCACCCTCGTCATTCAAAGTAGGGCGTGTTTCCTGGGTTGTTGTTGCTGCATTACCCTCGTCGCTTGAACTCCCCCTGTCAACAGTGTCATCAATTTTCTCCATATCATCTGATGTCTCAGATGTAGATATCAAAGTAGAATCGAAAAATTCCGGACTACCAAATTCCTCATTTCGCAACTCAATTCCCTTATCATCAGAATTATTCGTTGTACATGCAAAAGGAAATTCATTTTCGCTAAAAACAACATCCCTAGAGACGAAGAACTCCTTAGTCTCCAAATCTGACCAACACGGCCATTCTGTTGCGGAGTACCAACACAAGACGTTTGGTGTAAAATACCATTAGTTTCAAAATATTCTTTTAGACATGTAAACTTTGTTCCATTATCACTTCTCATTGTTTTAACGACTTTGCCAAATTGTCGATTCACCATAGCACAAAAATTTTGCAAAATAACAGAGACTTCTCGTTTCTCAATTAACAAATAAATCCAAACAGACCGAGAAAAATCATCAACAATGGTAAAAAAATATACTGCTCCACAAGTAGAAGGTGTACGATAAGGCCCCCACAAGTCACAATGAATCAATGAAAATAACTCAGTAGCTTTATTATCACTTAAAGGAAAAAAACATCTCTTGTTTGTTTGGCACGAAGACAAATTTCACAATGCTTAAATATTCCACTATTGGTGTCAAAAGTAAAATTGGAGAAGACCCGACTAGACGAAATGAGGGATGCCCGAGACGTTTATGCCAAAGCTCCTCGTTATCTTTGCAGCCAATCTTGTGAGCCCGTACCTTTGTCACACCACGCAATACGTAGATCCCGTCACGATAGTCACCCACTCCAATCACCGTCCTCATAGTGCAATCCTTGTATCACACACAATTTTTTAGTAAGAGTGATTACAGAATTTGTCTCATTTAGAAACTGTCCAACAGATAGCAAATTGCAGTTTAACTTAGGAACAAATAACACATTATTCAATTTAATTTGTTCTCCAAGAACCGCTGTCCCTTCTTTTGTTGCCACTATTTCTGCGCCATTGGGAAGTCCAACAGGACAGTTATGGACATCATGTGACTTAGTGAGAAGATCATCACAGCCGGTCATATGATGTGATGCGCCGGAATCGATAATCCATTGATCGCAAATCTTACCGGTTTGTTTGTCTGTGAACGTCAATTTCTGGTCATTGAGTAAATTCCTCAAAGTGGCCCATTGTTCACTTGTCAAGATAGACAAGTCGCCTTTATCTGCATCAGTCAATGAAGAAGTAGAACCTTTGCCGAGTGTCGTTTGCGCTGCATGTGCACGACCTCCCCCTCTGACCGAGCCCTTACTGCCTCCACGCCCCAACCCTTTCGGATGATCTCCCCACCAGTCCGGATACCCGACGACTTGGAAGCAACGACTTTCGTCATGTCCCGCTCGACTACAGTGGTTGCACAGTTCTGATTTGTCTCGCGTAACATTTGGGCCACCCTGAACTTTGCTTTGGGCGAGGTAGGCGACTACATCACTCCTATCATCTTTATTTCGAGCAACTGTACGGTGTTGCTCTTCGGTCATAATCATTGCATAAACCCGATTCAAGTTTAGCAGTGGATCTAAATTCAAGATGGTAGAACGCACTGTTCCAAACATGGAATCCTCAAGTCCCATAAAAAATTGATGTACTTGTTCGTCATCTCGTCGTGCCCGCAATTGCTGCGTTATCTGACATTTGCAACCACCACAATTACACGTAAAAATAGGTTCGTAGTCATTGATCTCATCCCACAACATCTTCATT